TTCTCTCACTGGCCTGTGGTCTGCCACATTGACTTGAGTGACCAGTGACCAACAGGGAGCTGCCTGGCTCTACCTCACAATCACTGAGATTGTAAGTGTATGTCACCACATCCAGTGTGTACACAGGTTCTGGGAATTGAACCCTAGTTTCAATGCGTACATGGGCAGTATTTTAGAGGCTGAGTCATGTAAAGTGCTGACACACTTCAAGTTTACTAATGTTCATTTGTGGGAAAAGTATCAAAAATGAAAACAAAAGTCTACTTTTTAACCTCACATTTCTTTTCTGTAAATTCACTCTACAGTAAAATTACAGACAAAAAAATCTCATTAAACACTGATTATCAAATTAGAATCCATGAAAACAACATTTGCTCTAACCTTGCCTAATTCAAGGGAGTGCAAGGGTTTCTCAAAAAGGCAGGTCAGTTTATAGTGAGTGCCCAAAACTCTCCTGTCAGCTGTTCTAAATGTTAGTTTTGTGGAATTAATCATAGCAGGTCATAAATTCATAGAATAAATAAGATATCCCAAATGGCCATTACAGACCATTTTTTCCCAAACTAGAAATCTATGAAATTCTGTCTTTCAACAGTAATAGCCCTAAATGAATACTTCCTTTTTTATCATTTAAACAACTCTGTAAAAAGGTCAAATGTAACCTGATGATGAGGCAAACGGCTTAGGCGGTCTCCACATCATCACTACCTTTTCAGTTAATGCCCTTTAACCTTTCAATATACCATACCCTGCTATTTTAGCAGATGCATACAACTGAAGATAATTGAGTAATTGCTTCAAAATGTGTTACCTTCTGATTTACTCATACTAGGTGTTTTTATTTTTATTTTATTCATAATTTAACCTTTGCAAAAAATGATATACATTTTTTTAATGATGTATGATTTCTTTCCAGTCTGCAAGGCAAAAGGAGATGGCCATTAAATTAGATTTGGATCAGGATTCATGGAACACTCTTTTAAGTTTATGGTTAGATGTATGTTAATTGTACACAATCTTTTTATTTTGGTTGCACTAGGTAAATACTAGTAAATGTGTGTGTAATAATCACCTCTCCTAGCTCCTTTATGGGAAGCACTATTGAAATATGAAATTATAGATGACTTAATTAAAATGGGAATTTGAAAAGAGGAAATGATGTTTGTAGAGCATTAGGAACACAGTATTCTTTCATCAAGTTACCTGTATGAATTAAAATGCCCACCATGTGACTTTAAAAGCAATGTAAGTAAAATGGAGCTTAAAATCAATACTAGCAGAACCAAAGGGACTGGAAATTGTGACTCTGTAATAGTGACTAGATTTGTAATAACCTGGAGGGGAAAATAGGCATTTCTTCCTAGGAGGGAGAAAAGAAATACGACATAAAAGCCAGCGGCTATGCTGAGCCAGTGAAATTGTCCATTATTTAAACTGCAGGTGGTGGCACTCACATAAACTGACATAGCAAGCAGCCCAAGGTGGGGACATGGGTGGATTTAGTGTGAAGCCCACCACGGGGGTCTGTTTTCTGTGGAAGACAGAGCTAAGCTCTGCAGTAGGAAGATGTAGTATTGAAAATGGAATTCTAACTTTGGAAGAAGACATAGCCATGGTTCAGTCGATTGGAGTTCTATTTTCAAACCTTTTTCCATCTTGTTCACAAGTATGGGTAGTTAAGATTCTTAGTATAGGGAGAGAAGAAACAACTGGCAGAAGGAAAAGACTATGCCTTTAGGAAGGACATAAGATTCTCCTGAAGCTGGAGTTACAGATAGGTGTGAAGTACTTGGCATGGGTGCTGGGAACTTGGGTCTTTTGAAAGAGCAGTGTGAGGCCTTCTAAGGTATTTTTATTGCCCCGAACTGTATTCATATGCACAAGTAGTAGAAGTGATCTATTAGATTGACATAAGAGGTAAGAGCCAGCAGTAATGATGCTGAGATTACTACAGGAACCTACAAACAACTCTTCCTGCCTCCAAACTAATCTGGTGTTTGTTTTGCCTACTCTAAACTGTATTACAGGGATTGTAAATACTATCTGTCAATGGCTTGATGGTAAATGTACCTAGCCTTTTTAATGTCTACACTCTGTTGTTATACTTTAAAAAAAAAAAGCCATAGACTATATATAGGCAAAAAGACACAGCTGTGTTCCGATAAAGCTTTATTTAAACAAACAGGTAGCAGATTTGGCCTAATGTCCATAGCTTTCCACTGTTACTATGTTCCATTGCTCCCTTTAACACTTCCCATTGTCATTCCATCACCCAGATCACCACTGTTGTCCATACCAGCCTCATAATTTTTACAACTTTATTCCTTGTTTTCAATGTCTCTATTATTATTTCTGATGCCTGATCTTGGTTACCAGCTTGACTACATTTGTGAATAACTAAAACCCAAGCTACTGGATGCACATAGATGTTTCTTAACTGAACCATAGAAGTGTGAAGACCCATATTAAGTTTGTAGTTGAGGTTAGAAGATCCATCACAAATATAGATCATTTGAGGTCAGATGATACACTCGAAATCTAGGTCATTTAAGGTCAATATATACACTCTAAATTGGACCATACCTTCTGGAGTTCCCCCGTATAAAATAACTTGTAAGAAGGAAGCTTTTGCAGCAACCAACAGATTGGGAAAAGATCTTCACCAACCCTACATCTGATAGAGGGCTAATATCCAAGGTATACAAAGAACTGAAGAAATTAGACTCTTAATTGATATACTATATAGTCTGATTAGTTGTTGGCTGTTCTATAACAGTCCTTTGATAAAAGAGATTATTAATTTATATTTATATTTCTTTAAATAGTGTCTTCATGACTCTCTGAGTGTGTAAGGAGCAGCTGCTGGTGCTTCTGCCCTGACTTTACAAGAACTCTGAAAAATTGGCTTTAAAAACAAAAGAGGGGGAATGGTACCCCCACAGAAGGAGTCTCCCAAACTGAAAGTCTCTAAAACTGAAAGCTCATGGCAAATCTGCTGCTGACTGCCTCTGGCATCACCGACACCAATAAAAACTATGCCACAGCTATGTGGAAGGACCCTCTTACCCTTAAAGGGAATGGCCCGGACCCAGTTCTCTTATGGGGCTGTGGATTGATATGCCTGTTTGATACCACAGAAGGCACAGCTAAATGGCTGCCAAAAAGATTAATGCAAGAAACAGATACCCCCACAAAGCCAGGCCTAACCATAAATTAGATGAATAACAATTGACATCCAGGGAAGAGAAATCTCCCTGAGATTTCCCTTCTTTTTCCTTTCCAGATAAAAATGAATCACCTGTGATGTCTGCTGTTAGAAGTTCTAATCCAGATGCTGGCCTCCAAACTTATACTACTAAGACCTTCGACGGGTCATTTACAAGAACATTGAACAGCTAGAGATTGACATCACTAATCTGAAGAAATCCCTCGTTTCGTTGTCTGAAGAGACTTCCAAAAATTGCAAAGGACTTTATTGGACTTTATTTACTCTTTTACAATACAAAAGGCTGTGTACATCTCTTGACTGTATACAGCCCTTAAAGAAGAATGTTGCCTTTACATAGACAAGACAGGGATGGTTAAAGAGAGCATGAAAAAGGTGAGAGAAGGCCCTGAGAAAAGACAGAGGGAAAAAAGAAAGATGAGAGCTGGTACAAGAGTTGGTTTTCAACCTCTCCATGGTTGTCAACCATATTTCTTCCCATCTTGGGACCATTAATTGGGTTATTTTTGCTTACTTCTTTTGGTCCCTGAGCCTTAAATAGGCTGACTAACTTTGTGAAACAACAGATAAATAATTTCGTAGCAAAACCTATTCAGATACATTATCATAAGTTAGCTATGGAGGACCACGAGACTCAAGATGAGGTTGTTACTCTATCCAGGGTTTTCCCAAAACCCATCTCCACCCAACCTAAAAGAGGGGACTTCCACCCCTAGACCTAGCAGAGAGGGGCCACCCAGAATCCCCTCTGACAGGCGATCTGAATTCTTGCTTAGGCTGTGAGGCTAAGCACTGCAAGAGAATATAAATAAAAGTTAAAAACATCTCTCTGGGTTCCCTGTGGGACAGGCCTGACTGCATACAGATTGATTTCAAAAGTATCCCCTCTCCAGGAAAACGACATCCGGATGGGTATGGTTCTCATGCCTCACTGGACAATGACCGGGGACTGAAGCCATTACAAAGTCCCCTTCAATTACTGGATGTCCGGCCTCTATCCCTGCCTTTGCAAGACTAGAATCACCACAGCCCTTTTATACTTAGAGAAGGGAGGAGATGTCAGGGGCAGCCCTGCTTATACACTGAAGCCTAAAATCAGCCATAGGCCTAAAATCAGCAATAGGCCTGCCATACATGTATACTAACACCAAGTATTGGGGCTCTGTGGAAAACACTGAAACAGATGGCTATAAGCTAATGTAAACAGGCAGCTTTTGTGGAAATTTACCAGCCTGAGTAGTCATAGTCCTTGTAAATAGGTAGCCTTGGCAGATAGTACCAACTTAGATAAGAACAAGTGAATCATAGGCAGAGTCATAGTGACTTGTCCCCTGAACCTTCACCCAGCTGATATCCTGTTCTGAAAGATATCTGTATTCCTCCTGAACACCCATGCTCCTGTGTCATCCCCTTCCCCATGTCCTACCTTTTGGTGTTTATAAACCCTGTGTGAATAAGTAAAACTTACGATTTGATTCTAAAAAATAAAATAATTTTAAAAAGAAAATAATAAATTTAAAAAAAAAGAAGGAAGCTTTTGTTCTTTCTCTGATTGGCCTTACTTTCTCTTGCAAGTTCATTAATCCTCTTTCTAAGGCATCCTTTCTATGGTATTAGAACCTACTTCTTTGGGTTTCCAAGGCTAAATTCCACCTAAGTCATGTAGCCTCATGGACTGAACAACTACCAGATTCTTGGCCTTTTAGTCAGGAGACAGACTATGTTGGATTAGCAGGCCACAGACTGTAAGCTACTCCAATAAATCCCACTCTGACACCTCCTGTTTCCTTTCCTATGAGATCTTGATATTGATTCTGATGATTGTAAAGGAGAAAAAAATGCACTGAATTAGGCCTCATAGCTATGTAGTCTAGTGTAAAGCATAGGGCTAAATTCAAACATGCCTGCACAAAAAAAAAAAATCCCCTTTTGATATGTATATAAATCTGTTCTATCAGTTCTGTTTTTCTAGAGATCTTAGACTAATGCGCTATAGATTCTCATATTAAAGTTTCACTCAGTGTTTCTTCACACATCAACTAGCTTCCACATAAAGCTTTCCTGCTTAAAGGTTCAAAGGAGAAGAGAATTACTGTCTAGAGTGTATGGAAATTCCTCATTCACTGTCAAGTGGACCTAGAACTGTGCTCAATTTTATCCAAAGACTATTTCATGTTTCACTTAATCATTTAAGTTGTGCGTATGTAAATTGTAATTCTATATAAAAAAAATAAGCTTACTATAAAAGTATTGATCTTAAATGACTCAGTATTGGAGGGATGGAGGTCAGATATATCCATGACCCTCCTCTGTGGGCCTCACTAAGAAGCCATTAGTAATATCCATTGTGGGAAAGAGAGGATAGAATAAAGAAAGACTAATGGAAATATCTGTAGACCAAAGGCTAATGAGCTAGCATGAATTCTCCCAAGAGTGTGGCATTTCTCAGACAAGGTAGTTAGTGGAAACAAAACACTCAATCCCAATGATAGAAGAATAAAAAGAAAAGCTCATTCAGCCAAAAGCCTTTATTTCCTCCTTTTTCTTTATTAAGACTCTACCAGTTTGCAAAGAACTCTCAGGTTGTTCTTTATATTTCATTAAATTGCATCAATCCTTAGTACTAATGCATACTAAAATTTATACTTAGTCTTGTGCATTACGAAATGTTTATAATTCCAGCACCTGGGAAGGGCAGGCAGGAAGACCAGAAGTTCAAGGTTATCCTTGGCTACATGGCAAGCTTGAGATTATCCTTCTTTACAGAAGACCCTTCTTTAAAAGCCTTTTTTGATTAGGGAATATGATTAGGGAATCTTGTTACAGTTGTGGCAGATTATAATATTGGATTAATTTTCCTACTAGAACCAACTAGAAAAATTCAACAGAATATAAAATCATCAAAGGGAATCTTTGAAGGAAGGAAAGCTATGGAGGTGTGCATCCATTCTCCCTTGAGTAAAGAACACCTGCAGGTAGCCAACGGTCTCTTAGTATCTATCTCACTTTAGAGTCCACTGAAGCTCTGCTTTGATAAGACATATGTTCCCTAAGGCTGTTCCTGTCCAGTGTGGAATTCCTCCAATGAAGTACCCTTACTCCACAGCTCTTTGTGAGACCAGCTAAGCCTGTCTCAAAGCTTCAAAGAAAATGCTATTTTTTTTTAATTTTTTTATTGGATGTTTTATTTACATTTCATATGTTGTCCCCTTACCCCATCCCCCACCCACCCAGGAGCCCCCTATCCCCTTACCCCTCCTCCTTCTTCTCTGTGGATGTAACTCCTACCTACCCCCCCACTCCCACCTCCTCACCCTCAAATTCCCACCCCCTGTGGCGTCCAGCCTTCACGAGGTCAAGGATCTCTTCTTCCACCTATGCCCGGCAGGGCCCTCCACTCTTACCTATTCAGCTGAAGCCCTGGATCCCTCCCTAAGTGCTCCCAGGCTGGTGGTTAGGACCCTGGGAGCTGCGGTTGGTTGGTATTGTTGCTCTCCTCATGGTGCCGCAAACCCTTTCAGCTCCTTCAGTCTTCACTCTAACTCCTCCATTGAGAACCCCATGATCAGTTCAATGGCTAGTTGTGAGCATCTGCCTCTGAATATGTCAGACTCTTGAAGACCTCTGAGGAGGCATCCATATCAGGCTCTTATCAGCATGCACTTCCTGACTTCCACATCAGCATCTACCTTTGGTGACTGCACATGGGATGGATACTCAGGTGGAAAGGTCTTCAGATGGCCCCTCCTTCTGTCCCGACCTGCGGGACTCGGTTATTCGTGGGGGCGAGGGGAACC